TTTTCAACCTTAAAATGTCCTCATGTAATCAGTACTTTTACTATCTGCTATTGTTAGTATGTTCCTGATACATTCTCTGCTTTTTTTCTTTATCATTTTGTTTTAGGTACATTCCTTAAAAATAATCTTTAGCTTCTCTGAGACTCAGCAAGGGAAGAAATTAGATCCCTGTACATTATTATTTACTGTGATTAATGATATATTTGATCTTTCTCTTGCCTTCATTTTACGTTTTCTGTTTATTATGATTGCTTCTTTTTTTCACCTCTTCTTCGCCTTTCTTGTTTGATTACTTTTTTTTATCTTCCTCCTTCCTCTAGGGCTATGAAATATTACATCTCAATGCTGTTCTTACAGTGGTTACCCTGATATTATTGAAACATATTTTATCCTAAATTCTTCTGTTAACATTAAGAATTAAATATTATTCATAACCACAAATCCTCACATAAGCCACACACTTGAACATATATGCACTTCTCATTTTGTTTCCTTATCACTTGGGTTTTATTGAATAATCTAGAATATTATTCATATTTTCTCTCTTCTAGTTATTCCTTAAAACTAGTTGAAAGCATGAAATTGAGAAAATTTAGGGGTTGTGAGGTGTGTTAATATCGTAGGGTAGTGACTTAAGGTTCTTCAGAGAAATCAGAACACAAGGATATCTATCTGTCTGTCTGATTTTTCTTTCCATCATCAAAACTGTTTTGTTACAACATTTTCTTGAGCTCTAGGCAATTTAATTAGATGGGTCTGGGCATAGTTTTCTTCATACTGAATTTTTTTTGCTAAGTCTCTTGAGTCTGTACATTTATATCTTTTGCAAATGTGGGAAATTTGTAGCCATTGCTTATTCAGAAACTTTTACACCAATTTTGTTGCTTTCTCTTGGTTCTTAAATTTCAAGTTTTCCTCTAGCTTATAGAAAGTCACTTGGCATTTCTTTTAGTTGATATCAGCTGTTGACACGTTGTTTTAGTTTTTAGTCATTGAGAATATCTGTATTTCATTTTAATTCTGATTATATTTTGAATAGATATAGAACTCTGTGTTAAAAAATAAAGAATAAAAAAGAGTCAGGGATATAGCTCAGTGATGCCATGCCTGCCTGGCAAGTTCAAGGTCCTGAGTTCGACCTCTGGCACTGCGGAAAAAATAAAAAAAAGAATTCTGAGTTGAAAGTTTTTTCCCCCCATCTAAACATTTTAAAGCTGTATTCTGTTAACTTCTAGCCTCTAATACTTTTCAAGAGAAACCCACAATGATTAGACCTGTTTTATTCTGGGAAAATTCCAAATTATCTTTATCCTCCTATATTCTTAAAAACATATGTGATTATTGAATATAAAAATTATAACATGGCAAATGGATATTTTGGAGTATGTAGATGTAATTCATATTATAATAGTCCAAATGGTAGGGCACAGTGTGAGCTATTGTGGGGGCTTCTGTGAATGTCCTCTGTGTGTTCAAGGTCAATGGAGAGAAGTTACAGGAACTACTTCTAAAAATTTCCAACAGTGGCATTGTTTAATGGGAGAGGAGAAGATGGAGGCAGGGAATGGCGGGATTCCTTTCAGAGGGGACTCACTGAGCTGAGCAGGTCTGGCTGGCCTGGGCCAGAAGGAGGATCTGCCTGTTCAGGGATGGAGGGGCTGGGAGGAAGCACAGGTTTGGGGCAGATACAGAGGTCCTGGGGTCTATGGAAGATGAGGGGTCCCTTGACATTGCAGGGGCCCTCTGGGGCCCAGGAGAGGGAAGTGTTACAGATGACCTCACAGAGCTGGTAACAGGACCCTTAAAGGGGAAGTTGCAGTTAGCACAGGAGCAGCAGAAGAGTGAGTGCTGACTCTGCTGAGGATGCACAGAGACCTAGAAAAAAATGTCTGCTAGTAGGGCATGCTAGTGCAGGTCTGTCGTCCCAGCCCTCTGGGAGGCTGAGGCAGGAGGACTGCAAATTCAGCCTGGGGGACTCTGAAATTTAGTGAGACCCTGTCTCAAAATACTCCAAAAGTCTGTAGATGTGGCTCAGTGTGAAGACTCTGGGTTCAATCCCAGTACCACCTCCACCTCTAACACACACACACACACACACATGTGCTTGCATTTTAAAAAATAAATAAGAGGAGTTACTGCTAAGAGGGGCAAAAAAAAAAAAATCAACATCCTCAGGGAGAGTCAGATTTCAGCAGTGGAAGGAGCTTTTGTGAGGGCTTAGAAAGGTTTGTTTCCAGCAGATAGGAACCCCGAAGAGTAATGAAGAGGCAGGGTAGGACAGCAAATGTGGCTTCCTAGTGGGAGAAGCTGGGTACCCTCTTGGGCATGGCTGTGCCAGGCAGGACAGGAGACGGCTGAGGCAGAGAGCGATGGTCTGATGTGCAAGGCAGCACCAGCTCGGTTCTCTCTGTCACATGCGAGCTCTTGGAAATCTCACAATGATAAAGGAAAATACACAGGCAACAATTCCTGCTTAGTGTTTCTTTATAAACGTGACACTGAAGTGACAGTCACCATGGCTCATTGAAGAGCCATGCCGTGGCCATGCTGTCCTCTCCTGGCTTCCCTGTCCTAGCCTGAGTGCTCACCTTGTCCTTCCCCTGCCAAGTCATGGGCACGGTGGAGCTTCACACCTGCAGCTACAGAGTCCTCTCCACCACTCTCTTGCTTTAGAAACGCCCACTGAACACAGTGGTGTAGGCCCCTCCGGGTGGCATGTGGCCAGCAAGGCCACTTTTCATGTAAATGTGAACTGCATGACCAAGCAGTTCCAGTGCAGCAGGTCCACCATGTTCCACACCCAAGGTGGAGTCACGTGACGACTTCGAGAACGTTAAAAATGGAGCAGACTGGTTTATGGACTCTCACAGTGAAATATAAGGGAGCACAAGGCCACACTGTGGAGCAGCACGGTTTCTCCTTTCTGACACTTGCAGCCAGTCATTTATTGCAATATATCATGGGCACTGCTACAAAGCAAGGCATGGCATTAAGAACAGGGTCCTACATGAATTTTCAGACACAACTTGTGAGTTACACACACCTTACTTGCTCCTACTCTGGTTTCTCCATCACGTGTTTTGCTGCCATGGCTACTTAAGCTGGCTCCCCAAGCCCTTTAGAGGCACTGGGAGAAATGGCCACCCCTAGGGACAGCTGCCAAATCAAGGCCACTCCTTCCCTTCTGGGCAACTCCTGGGATACCTGTTCTCTTTCTTCCCTCTCTCTTACCCTTCCAGAGGCAGCAGGTGGGAGAGGTCCTGGATTTACTGGCGAGGCCTAACTGGGTCAAGTGTGTTCCTGGCACTCCAGGCTGGAATGTTTCCCAACCAAGATCAAGAGTGAGTGACTTTGTTTGCTGGCATCTCCAGTGACACAGTGCAGTGAGTTCCTGGGCTGCAGGGACTTTCCCCTGAATGGGGTCTACAGATAACACGACACTCATGCTGGCATTACGATTTCCAAGTGGCTGATGTAGAAGGAGCCTGTCAATCTCAGGTGTGGTGGGTGCATGCAAGCATGTGGAAAAGATGCAATCTTGGAGAGTCAAGTTCTCGGGATTTTAAAAATTCATATACAGCAAAGTCACCGCACAATTTGACACCTGCTTATAGTCATGCAGCCACTGTCACGACCAGGGTGCAGAGTCCATCATGCCTTCTAACATCACTGGTCTGGTCTCTCTCCCTCAGAACATTTCACCTTTTTTGGAATTTCACGTGAGTGAAATCACACAGTACTCCATTCTCTGTAACAGGCCAGCTTCGGACGCTCACTCAGGGCATTTGAGAATCACCCGTGTCATGTTCATTATTATTCCCTTTTATTTATTTATTCAGTTTATTCCCTTTTTATCACTGAGGAGTTACACAGAAGACATCACAGTCTGTTTATTCCATGGACAAAGTGAAGGAAGTCTGGGTTGTTTCCAATTCTGAGCAATTATGAATAAAGCTGCTATAAATATTTGTGGGAAGATGTTAGTGGGAGCAGAAGTTGATGTTTCTCTTGAGCAAACGGAGAAGTAGCAAGCCAGGTAATCTACATAAAGAGTATGTTTAATGACCAAAGCACTTTCCAAAATGACTACGTTGCTCATTATTCCCAGCAGCAATACCTGCCGGTTCCTGTTTCTTCACGTCCTTTCCAGTCCTTTCCTGCACCATTGTTCTGCGTGCTTGCACTTTCACCAGTGCCGTGCAGTTGATCACTAGAGTTATACAATCAAAATCAGATAAAGGAAGTCTTCCAACTTTGTTTCATTTAAAAATTGTTTTGGCTTAGTCTAGTTATCTTGACATTCCCTCTAACTTGAGAGTCAGATGTTTTATACCTATAAGCAACTGTTCTGATAGTTTTTTGGGGTTGCAATGTACAGATTAATTTGGAGCACATTAATATCTTGTTTTCTGGAAAAATGGTATAGAAGTGATATATTCTTTATTTTGAAATATAGTTTAATGCTAATATAGACACTGTATTTTCTTTTGATGAGCATTGACACATCATATCAGTTTTCATTCTTTTACTTTTAGCCTATCTGCATTAAACCACTCTGCCTGTGGTCAGCTGAACTTGGCCAAGGGTTCCGAGACCATTCAATGGGGGCAAAGTTTCCTCACAAGTGTTGCTGGAGCTGTCAGATTTCTATATGCAAAAGAATGAGATTGGACTTCTACCTCACACCATATGGAAAAAAATAAATCAAAGTGGATCAAACATCTAAATTTAAGAGCTAAATCTTTACGCAAAGCATGGGTTACATCTTTATGACCTGAATGGAGTCATGGTTTCTTAGATACAACATCAAAAACACAGGTAACAACAACTCCCAAAAGATAAATTAGACTCCATCCAAACTAAAAATTTTTGTGCTTCAAAGCACACTGTCAAGAGTAAAAAGACAGCCAGGTGTGGTAGCACACGCCTGTAACCCCAGTACTCAGGAGGCCGAGGCTGGAGGATCACTTTGGATTTGAGGCCAGCATAGTCTACACAATGAGTTCAAGGCCAGCCTGAACTACAGAGTGAGACCCTGTCTCAAAAAACAAACAAACAGACAGACATAAAAGAAGAGAGTAAACAGACAAACTAAAGAATGGAAAAACATATTTGCAAAGCATTTATCAGAGAAGAACTTAATATCCAGTCTACATAAAGAACTGGACCATGAGGACATCATGCGGAGTGAAATTAGACAGACACAGAAAACAGTTTGGCAGTTCCTCCACAAGTTAAACACAGAATTACCACATGGCCTATCTCTTCTCCTAACATGTACCCAAGAGTATGGAAAAGATGTGTTCAGGTAAAAACTTGCATGGACATTATTCATAGCACATTTACAAAAGCCAAAACGTGAAGACAGTGCAAATATCTATCAATAAATGAATGGACACAATATATAGCATGTTCATTTAATAGAATAAAAGGCTATGAAGAGGAATAAAGTACTAAAACATGGCACAACATAGATAAATTGCAAAAAAGATTATGCTAAGTGAATGAAGTCAGACATAAAAGACACCTTCACGCAGCCCATTTGTGTGGAATATCCAGAATGGGTGAATCTAAATGTGGAGAATGCAGACTGATGGCATCCAGGTGCTAGGGGTGGCTTCCTACAAGGCACAGGGCTTCTCTTGTGGTGATGAAAATGTGGGATCAGTGGAGATGACAGTGGAACACATCATGGACGTGCTTGATACTACTGAACTAGAAACTGGTACTACTGAGTTGAAAAGGCTACTACTGAATTATTAAAAAAAAAAAGACTTCTTTTAGGCTATATGACTTCTGCCTCAAAATCAAACCAAAACAAAAACCCTGTCATAAATAAGCAGTGCAAAATCCAAGACTAACCATAAGACAAACATCAACTTCCAATTGAGGGGTGCTCCACAAACATTCTACAAAATACCCAATGTATGTGCCTCAAAACCAAAGATCAGAAGACACAAGAAAGTAAGAGAAAGTCACAGCCAAGCTGAGATGCATAGTTACAAGACAAGGAAGTGTGAATGAATGATAGACTTCAGTTAATGGTAATGTGTCCACATCGACTCACTAACTGTAACGAATACACTAGACTAATGTGGGATGTTAGAAGGGAGAGTAGGTATGGGAAGAGAGGAACCCTATCCTGAAGAATAGAGTTTGTTTTTAAAAAAATCCCCTGTGCAATGTTGGTCTTTCTGTTTTGGTGGGAAAATGGTTAGATTCAGACTGCAGCTTCTGACTCGTTTGTTTGTTTGGTGGTTCAGCTGTCAACGCAGGTCACCAAGACAGTGCTCCCCATGGTGACCACCATGTGCGTGTGCCCCCTGGGGTTCATCTGGAAGCACCAGGGCTGTTCTCACAACGTCTGCTATCTGTGTCTTTGGGTCTCTTCTTGTGCAACTCAGAGGTGAGCCTTGGATTTACCAATGTAAGAGTTGGGGGACGCCTGCCCCAGCTCTCCCCTTACCAGGATTTCCACTGCACTCTGGTGACCAATGTGCCTTTTTTTGGTGGTTTCTCTGTGCATAGAGCAGTTGTTTTACTTGAGGGATGGGTGGGTGTTGGATACCTTTCCTGCAGAGACAAAAGCTGTATTGCTTTGTGACTGAAGCTGATCTTGGGGTAAGGACAGAAAAGAGAAATGAGGAAATAGAAATGAAAAAGGGGAGAAGGGGGCTCCCACACTCTCCGGGTCACAGGGATGCCTGGTCCTGCTCTGGATGGAAAGGGTGGGGTAATAGAAGGAGTTTCTTCTCTCTACAGCCCCTGTGTAGCTCCAGGCCTTTGGCCTTTCCTTCTGCCAGGAGATGAAAAGTAAAAAATAAACTCATCACATTTTTGGTTAGCCTTCAAATTTTGACATCCTCCCCAAATCCCCTGCTCTTGTTTACTGTTTGGAAGCCTTGAGTAGTTGCTGTTTGTGTCTTGTCGGGTGTTTTTAGCTGTGAATGGTGAGAAACACTGGAAGTGTGAGCTTGCTTCACCTGAAATTCAAGATTTGTTCTCAACTCAACCTTCAATCGGTCCACACCTCCCAACTTTCACGGCTTCCTCAGCTCCTCCCCTTCCATGTTAGCTTCAGTGTGACCCACCAGGCCATTAACCTATAGGCACACAGTTTACCTGCTTAGTTTTCCAGGCCTTTGGAATTCTCCTTTCTGTTGCAGTATCTTTCAAACTGACTGCCCAGAATATCAAGGGATCAGGAACTAGGATGGGCAGTAAAGAACAAAGCTCTGAAGAACAGTGCCTTACGCCAATTACAGGCTCATCTTGCTTCACTTACCTCAACATTCATGGTGTTTTCCAGCCATGTCCCCAGTGCCCCCATCCCCTTTTGAGAAAGAAAGGGAGGACAGATCCTGTATAGGGAGAATATTGGGATCTCACTCTTACCTGGTAAATAAAAGTTGGATTTAACTTCCTGGATGTGTTGGAATCATAGGGAAAAGACTGATGCATGTTTTAAGCTTGGGGCTGTCAATGAGATGTAATGGAAAGCTGGAACATTCCTGCTGGTTTACTAATGGCTCGCCTTTGGGTACCACTAGACATGATGTCAATCCAAATTGGGCTCAAGATTTTATTGGCTTTGGCCAGCAAGGAAAATTAGAAATAGCTCCATTATCCCAGGTCATTAAAATTCTTTTAAATGCATGTTTTTTTTGAGGACTTGGGCCATTACCTAACTTTAAAATGTTCTCACAAGGTTGATTGAAAGAAAGGATTATTCAGGGAACCATTAATCATGCAGAATGGAACATGAGTATTTATACCTACTTCTCCTTTATGTCCCAAATAATTTGAAGTGCTAAATTATCCATGCATGCATCCATCTTTCCATCCCTTGTCCATCCCTCCATTCATCTCTCCATCCATTCATCTGCCTATCCATCTAGCCATCCCCTTGTCATTTATTGAGTACTACTGTGAACCAGATGTGATGGTTGGCTCTAAGAACCCACAGATGAGCAAGATAGGATTCACCTTTATATCTGAGGACCTCATAGCCTGACACCAGAAAAGGCTTTACCTGGATCACAGGTGATTGACAGGCAAGTGCATTTGTGTATAGGTAACTTTATCTCTTTCTGTAGCTTAGATTAAATGATTTCAGCAATATCTGCCCTCCATTCTCTTCTATTTGTTTATTCGAATTAAAGAGAGAGAGCACCCCTAAATCCAAGCCTGGATGGTGCTCACTCTCAGCACTGAGAATGATCAGTAAGAAAGAAGACACTTGATGTGAAACCTTCCCTGTTAGGTCCAAGCTTGGATTCTCTTTTTGTTCCTTTTCCTTTGTTCTTTCCCCCAGTTTCTCTTTTGTTTTCTCAGGAAGGAGAAATCACCTCCCTTTTTGGCCCAGCACATTGGAATTTTTACCCAAACATCCTCTTTGGATTGACAAGGTATTCCACAGGGACACAGGGGAGTTCACACAATGCCAGGGAGAAGTGAGAGGCAGGAGGTGGACAACAGTCCAGGAGACTTGGGTAGTCTGCAGGAATTGCTGCTGGAGTATACTGTGGCCTCTTGCTTTTTTGGAAAAAAATTGGCATTTCTTTCCTTTTTTCCCATCTTATCAGTTTACAATCTAACTCTGTATTCTGCTTTACTTTGATTGTCAACACTGATTGTGCAGAAACATCTTCTAGGGCTCAAGAGGCCCTGAGTCAGCCCAGCCCACAGGGTGAAAGCTGACTTTCCCCAGGAGAAATCAGCAGGAGGAGCAGCAGAGTTGGTGGGAACAAAATGCTGATGTTCTCAAGCTCTTAGGTTTGGACCAGGGACCACAGGAAAAGCTTTATAAATGTGAACTCACTCACTCCTAACTACAACCCTCTAGGTATGGTTATTATTACACTTGATCTTAGCCAAAAGGCCGAGAAGCGGTATGGTTATTATTCACATTTATAGGCAAAGAAAACTGAGGTACGGAGACAGTGGACATAGCCCAAGATCACATGGCCAGGAAGGCATTGCAGCTCCAGAGCCTATATCCTGGATCACAGTGAGATGAAGAAAAGGACAGTAGAAAGGTAAGCAGTAGTGGATAATTCCATGCCTGAAACTTTGATATGTTCAGTGTATTTTATTTGGTACATTGGGGGAATGCTGTACTGGCATCAGGGGCACATGGAGAGGATTGGGGTCAGTCAGGAGGCAGAGGGAGGGGCCTGTGAGCAAAACCTGTGATGGAGGTTTCTGCAGGAAGGAAGAGGCCAGGCAGTACCCCTGGTTTAGGAACTTGAATAATTTCAGGTGGGCTCTGGGATGTAAGGACTGTCATGTTCCTATGCCTGGGCCTGGGGTGACTAGGGCAGGTGACAGTGGCCCAAATGTGATTGCTCCATAAAGGAGGTGGGCAGGTGTCGACTCTGGATTGGTCAGCTTCTATTTGAAAAGCTCATTCCTGAGTGAGTTGTTTGTTATCCCTAGGAAGTGCCTGACTGGGAGAGACACTGATGCCTCCAGGGTCAGCAGGCCTAGGATGTGAGCCCATCAGAATACAGAAAACAGAAGAGACAGTTAGTACACTGTGTAAATATTGGGAACACGGCTGTGAGCAAGGCAAGTAACTGAGTAAAAGGAAAAATGCACGCGCATGTGTGTGTGTGTGGTGTGTGTAGGTGTGTGTAGGAGATAGATATTAAGGAAACACAGTTCAATTACTATTGCAATACTAAGAAGCCCAAGGAAAGAAGCCCTAATTGAAGGACAGACTTCTCACAGCAAGTTTGGGTGCAGGCAAAACAGTCATCATTGTCCATATACTATAAGATTATTAAGTAAGTATTTATTGATTATTCATCACATACCAAACAATAGGAATATGGCAAAGGTGAAGAATTTGGTCCAACCTGGGCACCATAGAGAAGCCAGAAGGCAACAGGCACTCTCAGGAGTATGCATTAGTGCTTCACTGCTGGTGATCCAGGGGGGTGAATGTCCCCTGTGGAGTGTGGGCAGGAAGGGAAGACATCAAAGAAATCTGCAGGAGGAGCTGAGGCTAAGTTGCTGGGGTGGGATGAGGCTTGCATTGAGGGCCCCAAAGGTGTAAGGGCATGGTGGTTTCAGGGAGAGAGCATTTAGGAAGGTGGAGGAGGAAGTGGCCCCTCTCTAAAGTCCCAGTCTTGTCAATGTCAGTTCCATGGTTGGCTGGAGCCTTACTGGGCACTGGACAGTCCAGACTGAATGGAAAGGGACATACACTTACATGTTGGTGGGAGAGTCCTGAGGCCACAGTGCAATCAAGCAGTTCAGAGGGGGGATGCTGTGGCCATCTTTGGAATCTAACCAGCAGTGGGTCCTTTCAGGGGAGGGAAGGACCTCTGAAGATCTGGAGGGCTATGCTTTTACCACAGGAGATGAAACAGTATTGTGCTTACTGAGGAATTAAATTATTCCTCATAGCACTACTAGCACATCCATTTGTGCACTGAGAAAGAGAGTCATGGAGAAATGACATCTATTTTTGAGGTCACCCAACTGGACAGTTGTGGAGGTGGCATCCCTGTGCTGTTGGTTGCTCTAGAGTCTGATGTCCCCTGCAACTGGTACCATTGTAGTCCCTGGTCTTCTTCACAAATGTTCGTGTATCTCTAAATTGGGGCAGCGAAGGTGATACACAAATTTCAAAGCCCGTGTTCTCATGTAATACACAGAGAGGGTGGTAACAACTTTATTTTTATGATATCTAATTTCTATGGTACTAAAATTTGCAGGCTTTTCCTGCTGCCTCTTGTGTGGGCTGCTTTATCCTTATCATTTGAAAACGTATTAATGCTGGGTGCCACAGTCCTGCCATCTGCGACCTTTACCTGCTCAGCCAAGGACAAGTATTTGTATTCAGCTACATTTTCCAGCCTTGAAGGAGTAGCTTCTGGCAAGACACTGTTTTCAAGCTTGGAGACACCCAGCTTCACGTGCTGCTGGAAAACTAAAGGCTTCCTTTTATGGGAACAGGACAGGTGATGCATTGATTTTTGCCTTGATAGTGAAAGCAAGCACTTCAGCCCTATTCTGTAATTTGTAAGCTCCAGTGCACCTATCATTTCCCTCCTTAAATAAGCCATGTTATCAGGCCGAGCTACCATTCAGAGAGATGGTGAGTGTGCGTGTGTGTAAGTGCATGCACCAGCACCAGCACACATACCTGTGTGTTTCACAAAACAAACCCAAAGTCTAAATTGGAAAACTCCTATTTTTTTCCTTTAAAGACTAACAGTAGCAACTTGTATTTCTCGCTTTCCTCACTCAGTGATATTTACAGGAGACATAAGTCCCCTGGCAGAGTACAGCATCTGCCCGTGTTAGTGGTCCAAACACAAGACCAGGTTAGGGTGTTATGGTTTAGATCTAAAATGTTCCCCCCAAAACCCCACGTTTGGAGGCAGGGCCTGGTTGGAAGGGGCAGATCACCAGAGGCATGCCTTGGAAGAGTATATTCTTTCCCGGCTCCTTCCTTCCTTCTATTCCTGCTTTCTGGCCACTGAGTTGTGAGTAGTTTTCCTCTTCCATGTTGTTCCTGCCTTGGATTTGAAGGAACATGGACTGGATTCACTGAAACTGTGAGCCAAACAAATCTCTCCTCCTATAAGGTGTGAGTGTCAAGTACTGTGTTCAGCAGCATGAAAGCTGACTAATGCAGGTGTGCTTGTGGACAAGAAGCCTCTTGTTTGCTTTGTTATTGTGGTTTATTTTTGTAGTCCTAATATCATTGTTCACACTATTCTTGGCACTTTTTAATATGGGTTCCAGGTTGATTGATTCTGTTACAACCAAAGATTTGCACATAGTAGGTGTTCACCAAACACCTGTCAAATGAATTAATGTTAATTTTGCTATGAATGGAAGGACTTCACCAGATGCAATGCCAAGAAAAGCTTACGTCTTTATCGCTAATGTCAGTAAATCATGGCGGCTTCTTTGGCTGGAATGATGGTGCTTCCTCTGCAGGCAGCATGGGTCCGGTGGGCAGGCAGGTGGAGGGGAGCATCCCCTGTGTGCACCTGGTCCAGGTTCCAGGCCCCACTGCCGCGTGCACACAGTGACCTATCTGTGTGAGGCTCATTCTCAAGGCTGCTTCACCCCAATGAATGCAACAGAGAAGCTAGTGCAGATGCTGAGGAGGTGAAAGGGAGGCCACGGAGGAAACACCCAGAGCACTGTGGAAGCCACCATGGAGGGTGCCTCGGCCCCACACAGAGTGCACCCCGTATTTAGGCACCAGTGTGGTTATTCCATTTCCGTGTCCATGGCCGGTCAGGAACCAGGGTAAGTGGGGTGGGAGGTGTGTGCAAGCGAGGTAGTCAAGATGGCCCCTCTAAGTGGACACCACTCCTTTGTCACTGCCAGTCACTTCCAAGCCAGCTGAGGCCTAGGCACACTTCCGCCCTCACACAGAGACCGCCCTGCAACAGCCAAGGTGGCAGGCCTCTAGTGGACTTGAGAACGTGGTTCAAGTTACTCCTGCTGGGACACATTTTCTTTTTCTTTTAATTAAAAACCAGGAGGGCTGGGGATTTAGCTCAGCAGTTCGGTGGCCTGCCTTGCAAGCATAAGGACCCAAGTTCAATCCCCGGTACCAAAAAAAAAAAAAAAA